CCCACTGCAATAATCTAGGACCAAATATTTAAGAATTCCAAAAGACAGTAACATAAATAAAGTTGAAATGCTAAACTGAAAGGAGTTCTATATCTATAAAGACAAAAAAAATATCATTTTCTTCTCTAGTTCTCCCTATTTTGCACCCCTTCTTTACCACCCTTCTTTGCTCAACCTGACACCTCCTTTCCTCAAATATCGTCACCATCGCCAATATCATCTTCTGATAATTTAACATATGATAAACCTGAAACAAGAGCAAGTAATGAGTTATAAGGTGTCGTTATTGCTCAAACAACAATACTCAAACTAACAATATGCTACTTTGTACAATTCAAAGAAAATGTACCTTCTGCTCTCAACCAATCCTGCAGGCATACTAAGGCTTGAACTTTCTTGCTTGTTAGTCGGCTTCTGTAGTCACTAACAATTCTTCCACTAGTGGAAAATGCATATTCAGAAGCTACAGTCGATGCGGGTGCTGCAAACACATCCCTTGCCATACGAGAAACCACATGATACTTTGTAGAATGCATCATCCACCACTGCAGAATATCAAATTTCTTTTGTCGAGGGAAAAGATCATCTTGCAGATATGTGTCAACCTCACTTTTCACTCTCTTCCTTTTTTGTGCTGCAAGATGTTGTTCAAAGTCTGCACAGCAGTCATCTTCATCAATACTTCCATCATTGGGCTCTGGTTGTGAGTAGTTTAAATCAGGTGCCATTGATGAATATGCAGAAAATAGATTTTGCAATGTGACCTTTACCATTTCAGTGTATGATGGACCTTTATCACCAAAACCAGCGTCCAAACGAAATGATACAAAACTGAGCTTAAACCTAGGATCTAGAACTACTGGAACACATATCTACAACAAGCATATGTCCCAGTATTTCTAAAACTTTAGTTTCATTTTGCTCACCATAACTGCAATGGAAATATCTGTATTTGATTCCAAAGTTTCTATTTTTCCTTTGACTTCCCATAGGACATGGAAACAGTGGTTTGCTGTTGGGTATAATGTACCAGAAACTACATTTGTAGCATCATAGAAGGGTTTGAACACATTGCAAAGTAGGTCTGCCATGTTCCAATCTGTATTAGAAGGCTTGTCCATGTAATTAGGATCTTGTGACTCCATAACATCAAAGACTGCCATATACTCTATTGTAGACTTCAGCATTAAATAAGTTGAGTTCCACCAAGTTGGGACATCAAGAGACGATCTCTTCTCACAGGATATACCTAATTGTACAATGATTTCCTCGAAACGCTGTTTACGGGCTTGTGAGCTTCTAATGTACTTGACACTATCTCGAATGCGATCAGTTGCACCATCTATCACCTTAAATCCCTCCTTGACAATAAGGTTCAACACATGCGCTACACAACACATATGTAGCAGATCACCATTTCCAAGCATAAGGTGTCTTTCTGAAAGATTTTTCCTTAAGGAACCAACCATGTTGTTGTTGTTCTTTGCATTATCTAATGTGATGCTAAATACCTTGTGCTCTAACTTCCATTCTTGCAAACACTTCAACAATGCATTAAACAAAGTAAAACCATCATGGGGCAAAGCTGCATGACCAAAACCTATTATTCTCTTCTACAACATGCAGTCATTATCAATGAAGTGGCAAGTAATGCACAAGTAACCTAGGTTTAGATTTGAAGTCCACATATCAGTAGTTAGATAGACCCTTGAATTTGAATTTTTGATAGTTTTCCGAAGGGCTAACCTTCGATCCTCATATGAGCTCATAATATCCTCAGCAACTATAGTTCTAGACACTATGGTAAACTAAGGATTTAAGGTAGCAATAAATTCCTGAAACGGTGCATGGTCAACTAAACTAAAGGGCAGCTCCTGCAATACGATAAAGTTGACCATGGCTTTACGTGAGACCTCTTGGTCAAACTTCCAATTCTTTAGAGCTAGTGAATCAGGGGATAGTCCTGTGTTCATGCTTTCAACCAACTGGTTCATTCTAGTCCTTTCTTTGCACACTTTCAAATGCCTACAACAAGCACTTCTACCATTATCTCGAGTAGCAGACAAGAGCTCCAAACAATGAATACATTTAGCTTGTACTACTAGATTCCCCTCATAAATAGGCTCAAATTCTTTCCACACATCAGATCTAAGTTTACGTCTCTTAATTGGTCTTGATGCATCTATACAATAATTATGTAAGTATTGATTAGTACAAGCATTTACTAAAGTATACATAGTCAGTAACTAAAGGCATCTCATGCAGCAAGAAAATTCATCTAAAGGACCAGGATAGTAGAAACAGGACCCTAACCAAGACAGAACAAATCAACAAAGTCAAGACAGTAAGAAAAATTTGAGACATAAACTGGTTGCTTCAATATGCAGGAAGTTAAATCTAACCTGGACCAAGATCAGGAGAAATAACCATTCTTGTATCATCAGATGAAGACGAAGATGATGATCTTGCAGATAGTACTGGAGACTGGCTCATCCTTGGTGACTGTAGCATTCTATTAAGTACCAAAGATCTCACATAATGCACACGTGAAGCAGATGACTTCCTCTGCATTCCTTCTGAATGATTTGAAGCATTAACAACAGATGACTTCCGTTTCAACAGCAAGGACTTGATCCTATCCACGCTCCTTGATGCTGCATCTTTGCCAAGATTAGGAGAAGCAGTCGTTCTTGTATCATCAGGTAAGGTTGAAGATGACAATCCAGCACATAGTGACCTCTGGTGTTTGGCTCTAGAGGGGCGCATCCTTGGTGATGCTAGGATCCTATTCAGTAGTGGGGACCTCACAAATTGCACATTCGAAGCAGATGACTTCCTCCGCTTCTCTGTTGGAGGCTTTGGAGCATTAACAGCAAATGACATCCGTTTCACTAGCAATGACTTCTTCACATTCACACTCCTTGAAGTTGTATGCTTACTGCTTTGTTGATCTGCTTCTTGACCACTCAATTCTTCTGGCGCAAGCTCAGATGGCAGGGTTGCCATGTCCACACCAGCACATCTAGATAGAATACAATAACATGATAAGCTAGAGGACAACCAAATGGTGGCAACAAAATGTGGACTACAGTAAAATTAGATATTTGTAGCTCAACATTAGTTTGATATTATCATGCTAATAGCTTACAAGTTATGATAATAGCTCAACATTAGTTTGATATTATCATGCTCGCGGAGAAAATAAGAAGTAACTGTCTTCGTCAGAGGATAAAAGATGAATGTAGCTTACAAGTTATGGTGCACAAAAACACACATGCACAAAGGAACATATCTGAACCTACAGTACAAAGTGGGACAGTAGGTATTGCATCTCCATCAATATTACAAAGAATCATGGTGTTGCCAGGAATGATGTTCAAATTTCGTGTAGCAGTTTTGATCAGCAAAAGACTAACAAATGTTTGCAAGGTGCCATTTGTACTTTCCATGCAAGAAAAATCTGATCCTAACAACCACCGCACAAATCAATAAAAAGTCTTTGATCATAATATCTTACTAACACTTAACACATGTAAAATTAGAAAATAGCTTTCAAAGTGAGGATCCCACATTTCAGACACTTATAATGTTATTATCAAACCCATGTTTATGTAGTATCACCAAGAAGGTTGCCTTAAAATTATTAAGGTAGAAACAATTGTACAGCCTTAGATGTCAACTCTCAACAGCACACTTCAAGAAATATGAATAAGCTTTCAACACCTACTGGTATATACAAGGTATAAGATGCAATGTAGTGAAATGCATGGACAAGCTCTAATACTCCATTATTAAGAAAATGTTCTTTTAGCTTTCCTAACACAAGAGGATGACAATCAATTCTTCCACCCATGACATATCTACTCCTCTTATGGCTCCCACCTTCAATTAATAACACTCAATCCACCACATTCATGCAAACTTCAATTTGCAATAACTGGGATTTTTAGCAAACACCAGCTTAAAAACCTTAAAGAATGTCTCTTTGATATCAAAACCAAGTTTCTTATACAAAGCTTATAGTCTATTGGAAAATTGTAATGTGTCTGCTAACCTACTGCGAATTCTAGAATCTCTGTACAAACAACTAACATCCAAAAGACCACGGCCTAAGCCTTATACTCATTGGGATCAGTTGGAAACCTTCTACACTAGAGGTAAACAACCAAAACCAAAGGGAACCGAGCAAAATCCTTACCCATATTTATCTGTCTGTAAGAAATTGCAGGACGACGAAGCCACACCCGACGCTAGGATCTTGGAGGCTTCATGGCCCCCGTCCTCTCCTGCCTCCTCTTGCTCCACCATGGAGGAGCACGAGTCGAGGGCTAGGTTTCCGCCGTCTACCACGGCCGGAATCAGCATTTCCATCTGCGCTAAGGGCCGGGACGAGCCGGAAGGGAGAGCTGAGGACAACAGGCGAGCGCGGACAGCGTGGTGGCTCGAGCGAGTGCGGGCGAACGTGGACAGCGGGCAAAAGCTGCCGCCAGAAGCGAAGCACGGCGGCGCTGCGCCAGCAAGCAGCCAGCTCGCCAAAGAAGTAGCACGGCCCGACGCTTAAGCGCAGCTTGCTTGCCGGTGGCACAGCTGAGGCGGAGGCACGGCGACGGCTCGAGCGCACGACCTGCGCGAACGGGGAGCGTAGCCTGCGGCGGTGCGGCCAGCGCGTACGGCGAGCGTGGCCGGCGCGGTGGCGCGGCTTGAACGGGAGGGCCGGTAGGGTTCAGGACGAGCTGGAAGGGAGAGCAGAGGAGGGTGTTGCGGGTCTTGCGTGTTGTTGCGAGGCTTCTCGCTCGCCCAACGGGCTTGGAGGGTTGGAAGTCTTTGGACCATGAAAAAATTGCAGCCGGTCCACAACAGCCACAAAGCCCGGTTTTGTGGGGCGACGGTTACGTTAACAACCCGCCCCGCCTGCAACTTGAGAAACATATATACATGGCACCGCGCCGCCGCCTCCTGCGTACGGCAACAGCGTCCTGGTATCTGTGTACGATAGAAAGATGGGCTACTTCGTCTTCAGGTTCGACGTGAAGCGCCTCTTCTCCGTTGACGATGACGACGAGAGCAGAAGCCGAAGCCGCCGCAGGCGACCTCGGGAGGTGCTCCCGTTATCTCCAAGCCACGTGGCTTGCTTTCGACGTCCACTCAGCTTCCCCATGGACTTGGCCGCTTCTCCCGGCGGGGACAAGATCGTCGCTGCCACCACGGACGGGCACATCATGGTCTACGACGCCACCAGGTCCCAGTACACCTACGACCACGACCTACGCTGCTGGAAGCCCTGGACCATCCTCCTCGCCTTAAGCAGCAGCCGCCGCCGCGACGACGACATGTCAATGCTGGTCGCGACCGAACTCCTCGACTTCTCCGTCTCACGTCCGGCGGTCGCCTGCAGCCCCTTCCCGTTCCTCCGCGCCTGCTGTTCGGCGACGGCGACGAGGTTGAGGTGACGTCCTACTTCGTCGCCGGCGGGCGCGTGTGGCTGTCCGTATGGTGCCGGTGCGACGGGGTCAAGGGAACCTACTCCCTGGACATGGCGGCACCAACAAAGCTTGGTTGGCGCCGCGAGGGGAGCTGGGTGCTGCCCCTCGTGGGACGAGCGGTGTACGCCCCTGACCTGGGCCTGCTCTTCGGCTTCAAGCGCCGGCAGCAAGCCCTGCGCGCCATCGACATCAAGGCCAGGCCCCGGCCGGTGATCCGGCAGGAGTGGACGAAGGCTCTCCTCCCTAGCAAGGACGAGGGCTACTCTCCTAAGCAAGACTATCTCCCCTTCGGGGGCCTGGCCTACCTTGGAGGAGGCAGGCTCTGCATCTCATGGTCCAGCGCCTACGGGGACGAACGCATGATTCTCGCCCTCACGGCGGTGGAGGTGACGATGACGAATAAGGAAAGTACTAGTAATGGGGGGCCGCCGCCGCCGCAGCCGCCGGAGCTGCTGCTGCGCAAGCGCAGGTCGCGCTGTTACCGTCTGCCTCCGAACAGTCAGAAGGCCACCGTGCTCCCTGTCCTGTAGCCTGCTCTAGCCGCCGCTCACCATGCACATGTCCACCAGAGGTGCTCTCTCACAGGCGAAAACAGACGCAGATCCGCTGTGGCTTCCAAAAGTCATGCACGAAGCAAAAGAAGCTACATCACATCGGGTTATGGCAAAAACAACACGGCAGAGAAACTTGGGACTCCACTCCACCCAGACACTGATTCTAAAATAGTAAGAGCAGTAATCAGGCTGTGTTTAGTTCGTGAAATAAAAAATTTTAGATATCACATCGGATGTTTTGGAGATGTCGGAAGGGTTTTTGATATTAATAAAAAAAACTAATTACATAGCTCGCTTGGAAACTGCGAGACGAATTTATTAAACCTAATTAATCCATCATTAGCGCATGTTAGTTACTGTAGCACTTATGGCTAATATGAACTAGTTAGTCTTAAAACATTCGTCTCGCGATTTCCAACCAAACTATACAATTAGTTTTTTTCGTCTATATTTAATATTCCATGCATGTGTCGCAAGATTTGATGTGATAGTTTAGGGTGAAAATTTTTAGGAACTAAACCAGGCCTCGATCCGTTTCAAATTATAAAACGTTTTGACTTTTCTAGATTCATTACTTTTACTATGTACTTAGATATACACTATGTCTAGATGCGCAATGAAAACAATGTATCTAGAAAAGACAAACGCGCTTATAATTTAGAATTGAGATAGTGCAATTCAAACAAGGTCTGGCAATGAGAATGCTGACACAATGCTGAAACTTTTCCCGCTTTGCTCAAGTATCGAACCAACACTTGGTATACCATAGCATACGTAATTACAATATTTCCTGCTATACCATAGGAAGGTAAGTACAGTGAAGGAAATAATAGGTTATGAGGAGAAGTTGTTTCATACATATAAACTATATAAACAAAGACGGACTTGGCGTAATTTACAAGATACAGAAAAAAAAATGTTTACAAAAACAAAAGATATAATAACCCAAACCTGTCCACTTTGTACATGAGATGGACTGGAAAATTGCACACCAGGAAAATGGCAGAAATGTCAAGCAAAAAAAAATATCCATGTTACGCCAGAATTCGCTCAAAGAATCTGAACCTTGTATTGACAAATCAACTCGCATGTCACAAAACCCTAATCAGAGCAAAAAAAACATATCAGAACTTGGGTGGAGACCGGCTTCCAGATGCTTTAAAAGGTCCACTTGAACCGAATGGATCGGCGTCATCAAAAGAGTCAAACCGGCCAAAATTTCGTGAGCTATTCCCTGTATCGAATCCTGATACATTCTCGCCTTTGGAGCTGCTAATGGAGTCAAACCTGGAGAAACGACTTTCCTGAGGGAAGAATCCAGTGTCTTGGGATCTGAAGGAATCGAACCTCCCAAAGTTATAAGAGGAGCTATCATCATGGCTTTCAACAAATTTTGGAGAGAATCCAGATGTGTATGCAGGAGAACTTGGAACAGAATCATCAAAGAATGAACTCCTCTTCTTTTCAAATACACTAGCGCCACTTGGAGAGCCTGCCTCAGACCCAAAGAAAGAGTTATGGGTGCCACCATGTTGGTCAGCTTCCTGTATTAAAACAGTTCATTAGAAACGGTAGGGAGAGATATACCCCCCATATATCAGAACAAGAAAGAAGAAACTGCATAGCTCACAGTGTTCAGTGCAGTAGAACCCCAAACAGAGTCAGTATCTTGATCATCAAAGTTCCAAGAAGTTTCATCAGCAAACTTGTCACCAAAAACAGATTCAGAACCACCATGGTCACTGCATCAAAATAATAAGAGAGTTATTCTCATATGGGACACGAATATCCAGCACCTTTTTGAGAGAGAGAGCTATAAGTGTATGCAGTACAAACTATTCCAGCATCTTTTTGAGAGAGCTATAAGTGTATGCAGCACAAACTACGGCAACATGCTCTAAGCACCAGGATCAGAAATTAGGATGCACATAAACCCAAGGCTGGAACAAGTACCTGTAACTTTCTCTTTTGCTGGGAGATGAATCATGCATCCCAAAGCGGGAAGATTTAAATGGACTCCCTGAGGCACTTCTTCCAGCACTGCCAGGACTCCTCACAGATTCATCACCAAAATCATATGCTATTTCACTCTCAGCCACTTGATCACCTCCACTGTAATGCCTTTCTTCCTTGATATGACCATTAGAGGATGCAACAGGAGACATATCATCACCATCATCCCAAAGAGATGGCACTTTTCCATTTTCAGCAGAAACTGGGTTTTCCTGTATTGTACCATTATCCTTAACAATACTAAACCCTGTCATGTCATATGATTCCATCAGGAATGTGATAAGATTAAATTGGAAATGAGAGGAAAAGGTTTGCCCCAAGTGTAAGACACAAAATTAAATATAGCTCATGTCGTCAAAATCTATGTATAGTATATACCACACGAACAATGTTCTAACAACAGAAGGTAACTAGAACAGAGGCTGTGGCTTGGTATGTTCAATGAAAGGAACCTAAACAAGGATATCAAGGCAAAAGAATTTTATCTGCATAAATGACACTAATGAATTATATCAGCTACACAAATATCAGGCTTTGAAACAGTCAAGGTTGCTTATTTCAGGATATGGCTTTGCTAGTGTATGTTAACAGTTGTAAGAGATATGAAATCTTTGTTTATCTTTCACAAATGTTTTTTAAACAGTAGCATGACAAGCACTGGATTGCAAAACTCAGCCTGCAGCCATGCAGAGTACTCCGATATATAAACAGACAATGATTAAAAGTAATCAGACGGGGAATGCAATGAAAGTATTTAACCTTCATCTTCAAATTTATCCCAGTCTTCATCCCACTCAATGAGTCCCTCTTGAGGCCCAGGTTCCCAACCTATATAATAAATAAAGACAGAAATGGTCAGGATGTGCAAATTATGAGTCTGAAGGCTGCAGGAAGTAAAATAAAAGTGAGAACATGCAATTTGATCACTAGTATCATAAAGATAGCATGAAGCTGGACTCTCAAGAATACTAAAATAAATAATAATATGAAGATGGAAAGCCAGGTACCAGAAGGAAGCTCAACTGATGCGGATGATTTGAATTGAAGTCCAAAGTGTTTGCACCGTTCACTAAGAGCCCTTTCCATCTCTTCTAATTGATATTGGATTCGATCGGCTCGAACCTAGGAAATCACCAGTGTTATTGAGAGATTAATGAATAAGTACCTAGCAAAGTAACAGTGTACCTGAAGCAAACCATCAACGCTTCCACCTTGTACCATTTTAATCAACGCATCATGCAGCTCAACTTTTCTCTCCTAAAAAAATCAACAAAGAACAAAGTCCAGTTTAAGACACAAATCCATCAAGAGAAGATAAATCAAGAAGGATGAAATGAATGTGAAACTAATGACAAGATCACAAATATTATGATAGTGAGACTGATGATAAGATCATAAAAAAAAATTACTCCCACCAGCCACAGATAAGCAGCGTTTGAGATTCTGTTAAGCCAACCATTTCAAACTTTCATCCAAGACAAAGAAAAAGTAAATAAAATATCTTCTTTCAAAGCATTTAATGAGAGGGGGGGGGGGGTTAAAGAGTGCAAACATCGCAATAGTATCCTCAATGGTCAAACAACATGAAGTATATTCCCCCCAGGACATTGGACAAACAAAACAAAATGGAGGGAGTACTTTTTATGTCAAGTATGAATACTTAAAAATGATACAAGTACGTGTTTCAAAATATAGTTTCCCGAAAGCAATTTTTTTCCTAAGTTTTATAAACATTTTTTTAACAAAAAAGGTACTATTCAAAATTGTGTTCTGAGACCATGCGGATGTCCAGACCATCATTTATTTGTGACTGGAGGGAGTATATGAACACTAATTTCTATCTATTTTTCTAAGGTGTAGAAAAGACAAACCTGAACATCACGATATGCAGCTTCTTCAACTGCTAGTTTGGAAGCTAACTCAGCTACTTGCTTGTACTTCTCTTCATATTTCTTAGCCAATGATTCCACCTGACACAAAATTAACCACAGTAAATTTGCTGGGGAAAACAAACAAAAGCTCAAACATGAATTTGCACCTCTCCAAGAATTTAGCAGTAAAAAAGGCTCATATAAGAAACTACAATGCTGGTCAACATAATGCAAGAAGCAATGTTCTGTACAATTAATTTGTGTGTCTCTGAGAATTTATCATCAAACAACAGATCAAAAGGAACAACTAGCCACCTACAATGATGGTATACATCACGTAGTAAGTAGTGTTCTGTACCTCACGTTTATCAGAGGACGCCCTTTCTGTAATCTCATTCAGCCTATTGTCACACCGACTTTTATACAGGACCTTCAAGAAAAGGAAAATAAAGGAATTAGAAAAATGATGAAAACAACTTTCAATTACAATGTCCAGTGACTTAACTACACCCAATTTGTAATTGTGCTTACAAGATCTTGCATCTTTGTGCGGTAATACTCCAGTTTCTCTCTAGAATCCAGGACCTGCTTCTCCACCTCAACCTTCAGTGTAAACGAGAGAGAAGGTTGAATTAAAAGAGAAATGTGTTTTGCAAGCACATAAGCGTTTACTCTATAATACAGAATCAAAAGCATAATTTGCATAAAACACATACCCACCCACCCACCCCCTCTCCAAAAAAAAAAGTATAAGGCGTATTTTTGTTTCATTAGGACAAAACTTCTACTAACAATTACTCTATTAATATATCATTTTTGTGGCACCAAATCTTGATCATAAGTACTTTTGAACATGAAACTAAGAACACAACATTTTTTTAAATATCAGCACGTTGTATATGAGTATATATTAATAAAGTTTTTGTTGTTTTATTAACCTTTGATGTTTGAGTGCATGACTAGTCCCTTAGAGATAACAGCAATGTATAGAGAATTCCTCATGGACGATATAGGCCTAGAATGTATGGGCCTTGACATACTTAGCATTTGTCAGTCAAAGATCTGTCCAAAGAAACCAAAATATGATTTACA